TCAAATCAGCTTGTCATAAATGCTGCCTGGCCTGCGACTCAGCCTTCAGGGGCGTGGGCTCCCCTCTGGACCAAGCATGTCCAAAAATGCCATCCAAGAGTCAAATCTTAGAATCAGGGACCTTCAAGAGCCTACTTGGTGCTTTACCCCTGCCCCCCAACCCCATAGCCATGCTGATACCTAAGGTGCAAGACAAAGTCCCCTTTATTTTTCCTTCTGCTAAGATTTTGCCCCATTGCCACCGTAGCTGGTTATGTGCTATTTTACCTGAGGTCAGCAAGTCACAGAGGCTCACCCAAGGCCTTTGACCTGGATGTCACTGTTGGTTATTAAAGGCCTAAGAGCCCTTCAGTTAGCAGGTGAGGAGTGCTGCCAGTCCAGGACTGAGTTCTTTCCTTCAAGGCAGCAGGTTCCCTTTTGGCCCAGGGTATGTCCAGAAATGTCATCAGAGTGCCAGGGCCTGGAATGGGGGGCCTCACAACTCTGACCAGTGCCCTATCTTGCTGCTGTGGCTCAGCTGGTATCTTAGATGTAAAAGTCCTCCCCATTCTTTCCTCAAGCAGAAGAAAGGGGCCTTTTGGAACTGTGAGCTGTGCAGCCTGAGGTTAGGGGAGGGTTGATGCCAACACTCCTTTGGCTACCCCAGCTGATGTCTCAATGTGGCATATCCTCCCCATTTAGTTTGTTATCTCTTGGCCTAATTCGGCACTAGGACTCACCTATGAGTTGCAGTCCTTATGACCTAGACTGCCTTTTGAGTGTACTTGGATACACAGAGTACTGTAGCCATCAGTTGCAAGGTTTCAGGCACTCAAGTTCAGACCTCTGGGCCTGGTGATTTTCCTCCTCCTAGGGCTGGTTTAAATGCTCCCTCCACAATTGGACATCAGCTGAATTTGGTCTAATTTTCCTTTTTTCTCTAACAGAACAGCACTGAGTTCACTGCCTCACGTTTGCTGTGTTCTCCCTCCCCCAGCACCCAGAGAGACTCTCCACACTATGTCAGACTGCTGGGAATGGGGGAGGGGTGATGCCAGCCATTCAGGACTTTAAAAAATCTCTTCAGTGCCTCTTTCAGTGATATGAAGTTAAAAGTAGGTACTGTGAGTGTTCACCTTACTTTTGGTTCTTATGAATGAAGGTATTTTTTTTCTACGTAGATAGTTGTTGACTTGGTATCTTTGTGGCGGGGGTGGGGGAGGGAACAGTAGAGCTTTCTATTCCTCCATCTTCTTCCCTGAATTTATTTCTTTAAGAGAATTGTACCTTGAAATTTATTTTCTCATTGAATGGATAAAATTAAGAACCCCTTTTATATAACCAGAAATGTTAACTAATGAAAAGATTAAATGTAATATATTTATTTCTTTTCTTTCTTTATTCTTAGAAACATCTAAAAGAGCTATCAAGATTATATGAAAGAATAAGATAAATTAGTTAAGTCATGGATATGCCAAACACTAAGTTAGAAAAGTTAAACAAGAAGCAAGAGTCAAAAATTAAGAATTCATAATATGCACTCACAGGCTTGACTTTAAAAAGAAAAAAAATTCATAATAAATCTGATAAGGCCTAAAACAGATTTCACTGTGCATTTTTATAAACACAGGTCCTACTAGATAAAATATAAGACATAACTTTACTAAATTCAAAGATGTGAGGATAAAAATTTCTTTTTTAAAAACTGATACATAATAGATGTACATATTTTTTTAAGTAAATGTGATCATTTGATACATTCATATAATCAAATCACCTTAGTAATTTTTTCTTTTAAATGTACAGTAGATTAATGTTAAGTATAGCACCCTTAAATTTTCTTTCAGTTCTTCATAAAAATCAGCTATAATATATTATAGCTGATATATATATATATAACTGAATCTCAGCAATTTTTTTATCTAACTTTCTTTTCTTAATTTACATTTAAAATAATTTCTATTATATTTTATAATGTAAAGAGTTCCTGCTCTCAATAAATTCTAGTTTATGATGTGTTTTTACAATAATCTGACTCGACTTTACTCAATCTTTACATTTATCTTGCCTCTCTTTAATAAATTCTTCCCCTTCTCATGCCAGTTAGAATGGTGATCATTAAAAAATCAGGAGACAACAGATGCTGGAGAGGATGTGGAGAAATAGGATGCTTTTACACTGTTAGTGGGAGTGTAAATCAGTTCACATTCACCCATGGTAGAAGACGGTGTAGCAATTCCTCAAAGATCTAGAACTAGAACTACCATTTGACCCAGCAATCCCATTACTGGGTATATACCCAAAGGCTTATAAATCATTCTGTTATAAAGACACATGGACACGTATGTTTATTGCAGCACTGTTCACAATAGAAAATACTTGGAACCAACCCAAATGTCCATCAATGATAGACTGGATAAAGAAAATGTGGCATATATACCCATGGAATACCATAAAAAGGATGAGTTCATGTCCTTTGCAGGGACATGGATGAAGCTAGAAACCATCATTCTCAGCAAACTGACACAAGAACAGAAAACCTAACACTGCATGTTCTCACTCATAAGTGGGTATTGAACAGTGAGAACACATGGACACGGGAAGGGAAACATCACACACTGGGGTCTGTTGGGGAGTGGGGGGCTAGGGAAGGGACAGGAGAGAGGTGGTGGGGCCTAGGGGAGGGATAGCATTGGGAGAAATACCTAATGTAGATGACGGGGTGATGGATGCAACAAACCACCATGGCACATGTATACCTATGTAACAAATCTGCATGTTCTGCACATATACCCCAGAATGTAAAGTATAATAATAATTTTAAAATAAATAAATAAATTTCCTTCATCCCCCTCTTCAGCTTCACATTTCTTAAGCTGCAGTAGTTGGTTGCTTTCTAATTCTTTACTGTGTTTCTATTCTGTTTCTCATAAAGCTAAGGACAAATGATGTATAAATTCACCTCTTTCCAAGAAACAGAGAAAAAAAGAATAAATCTTGTAGGTCAATGATAGGTGAATAAAAGCCTCACATAGTTACTAAGTAGAAAGCTACACTAAGTATGCTTCAGTGAAGACATACATGCACACATGGATTGAAAGAAGAGACGCTGTAGAGAATGTGTTCTATGAGGAAAAACATAGGTTGAGATAAATCATTTTTAAAAGACTAGGGAGGAGGGAGAAAGAAACAAACAAACAAAAAGATGTAACTTGACCAGTCAATCAAGTATAATCTTGAAAGAAAGCCAAGAAAAAAAGCCAAAGCCAAGGAAGAGAAAGAAAAACATCACACGCAGTAAGGTACATGGAGAAACACAGATGTATAACAGAAACTTTGGTTCATGGTGTATTTTGAATAATACTGCTTAGCATTTATAATAGTTTTTGGTAAACATTTCTGTGACACAGAATTGAATTTCATACTGTAAAACAAGACATTCAGCTTGTTAAACATAGTCGTCTACCACTTCCTAAAAGCTAGAACATTATTACTTCAGAGAAAGAAAAATGGAAAAAGAAATATTCCATCAACATTCCACTTGGAAAGAAAATACTAATCAGAATTCTAAACAGTAATATATGGATTGAAAAGATATATTTAGTAGAATATGGGTTGGGCTTTTAAAAAGTTTAAATACTTTAAATCTAAAATCTTAATTTATGCTTACAGCTGGAAGACACTAGAAAATATATTAACACTTTAACCCTCTTTCCTATTATTGATACATTTCTAATTTATTTTCTTCTTATTTATGACACATTTTCTCAGCATAACACATCTGAGTTTATACATCCTAAATATAAAAGGGAATACACATTTAGGCCATATCTTATAAATGAATGGATTTAATTATTAGATATGTTAGGCATATTATATTACTGCTAACATCCCATTATATAGAAATGCATTTGTCTGTTCATTTGTGGTACTCCAGGATACAAAAAAAAAGTTCCCTAACCTCCAGTAGCTCATAGTAATAAAGGAGTTTTAAAATGATTATTTAATAAATACAAAAACTTCTGAAATTTGAAATCTTAGTATGTGATGTAAGGATTTTATTTGGATATTTTTAAGAACTACAACATAAATAATTCTGAAATTAAATCACACTATATAGTTATTAAGAGTCTCTGCTTCTAGAACTTGTTATTTGGACAAACAACTATTCTTCAATTGGGAAGAGTTTTAAATATATTCTTAATGAAATGACATAGAAATGACAGTGGAATCTCATTGGAATACAGATTTTGAGAAAGAAAATTTAAATTTCTACATTTTTACGATCTTTTTAAAATCAGAGGCAGGTTCCTGCTAAGTTGCCCAGGCTGGGGTCAGACTCCTGGGCTCAAGCAATTCTGCCACCTCGGCCTCCTGAGTAGCTTGGACTGCAGGCATGCACCACCATACCCAGCTAAATTTTCACGATTGCTAATATTATTTTAGCCTAGTTACATAACCAAATATAGAAATAGGAAAAAACTCACCCCTAAAAACTATTTATATAATACTAAAATAATGTGTTTAAGAAAGAAAAGTATATGCTATCTGTTGTACAGTTTTTGAACAAAAAGGCATCAAGGAGATTCCATGATTACTATAATAAGTAATCAGATCCATTAAAGGTTTATTCCAGCATAAATATTAAAAATCCATCTTAGTATAACTTAAACGTTATGCACGATAAGAATGCTTATTCAAATCAATGTTGACCAAATTTAAAATTTGCTCTGTTATGAGAAAGCTTTGCTTAATACAATTTTCCTGTCACTATGTATTTTCCAGCCCATTCTTTTTTCACTCCCACTCCCTCTACATATTTACCAAGTCTTAGTTATTTATCAAAGTAAAAAATGTTCAAAAATGTTTAGTCATGTTTCTGTAAAACCATGTTTCTCTGATGAACTTTCCATAACCAACATAAAATGATTGTAGGTAGATTACTACTAAATTTTAAGAGTAAATGTTATAGAAAATTAGATCCAGAATGAGAAAATTAATTTTGCAAGAGACCTCTTTACCTCAGTATCAAAATCAGAGTCTTCATTAGCTGACGTAGATTGTGAGTGATCAATAGATGGTTTGTTGCAAAGCCTTTAGAATAAAAATATACAACAAAAATGAGTGTGTTCATTTCTTTAAGCAATTTGCAGGTTCATACCTGGGTGCCCTCCCAAAACAAAACAAACAAACAAAAAAGCAAATCTAGTGAAAAGTCAACTATCTGTATTTAAATAATGTCTCAATATAATTATAATTTGGCCTCTGTTATGGAAAAGATCTTAATTACCTATTTCTACTTCCTCCTCTCCCAAGTTATGGAACGATCCATGAAGACTCACCCACAGTTCCATAACAAATCATGACAGCCAATATATTGGTAGAACCTGAGAAGAACTGGGCTTCACAAATTCTATGTCCTGGAGGCAGAACTTAAAATCCAAGTAATGGCTGACATAACCTTTGTTACCTGAACTGGAAGAAACCCGATAACCTAAAATAAGGTAAAAAGGTCCACTGTCCCTTCTCCATGATCTATCTCTGGTTCAAAGACTAATCTGTGTCACTTAAAAATGGCAGTCCTGATTCTTCTGCTTGGAAACCACTTAAGCAGGCCCCCATTGCTTCCCTTTTTTCTAAAACAGTGCAGAATCTTCCCTCAAACTTCTAAAATACTTGAAAGTTAAATGTATGGATTTCAAAGGACAAATGTATATATTGTTATTAAAAATACTCTTCCCAGAAATATTAAAACTTAATTATAAAATCTAATTATTTTCCCTAGATAGGCTCTGTCATATTCAGGGCCACATAAAGTACTAAGCTCTTAAAAACCTCCATAGACAGTCAGATACCAAAGGAGAGAAACTTCTGGAAAAACAGAGTCTTCGTAGTTGTATCTCTATTTCCCTAAGTACTAGCTAAATATCTTTCTTTCTATGGGCTCCCACTTCCAGATCCCTCTTCTGCAAGGCTCTATGGCAGTCTCCTACCTGTATATCTTCAGCCAATAAAAGCACACATTACTAAAAGAGTGGACTCAAATGACCAAGAGTCAGAGCTCTCAATTTTACTGCTGCTAGAAAGAAAGCTAAATGGAATTTCAGTCATCTTCCCCCAGCATAGGCATGTTACCAACTACCAAACTGAAGGTACATGACTGATTTGTCAGATAATCCTACCCCAGCCCTACCCTACATGGAAATGGGAAGGACAATCAGTGAATTGGGAAAAGAGGCAGAGGTTAGAGAATACGTGTTCTGGTGCACAGATCTATATAGTTCAGGAACCTTCAGTCCTCTGGTACTGGAGGGACTCTGAGCCACCCCTCTATAAGGTGGGGTGGAAGTAGATAATACTACAATTCAATCTGCTATAGAGGCTCTTCCCAATAGCTCAAATTATTTTAACATCTTTCAATAGAAACTTTGAAGTTGGTCAGTCACTCTAAACAAACAAAACAGCAGCAACCTATTCAGGACTCCTTTGAACCACCTACGTAAATATGCATGTCTAGATAACTCCCAACATCCTGTCTTCTTCATTACTATAATTTATCTTTATGAAACTTGGCATAAACCCCAATATTCAGTTCTCTTTTCTAAAACCCTTATTCCTATCTAGCCCAGTGTTATTTCTCCTCAAACTTGACCTTCCCCTATTAACTTAATTCTTCTCTTCCATTGGGCTCCCAGCTAATTCCCTTCCTAGGCTCATCCACTGTGTTCACTAGACCCACTTTCCCTTTCTATTATTAAAACACTCACCAACTGACGGTAAAGAAGGAAGAGTAACAGGCTTTGAAATGAGTTCAAATCTCATTTCTGCCACTTCCTGTATACAAACAAGTCACCTTAATCTCTTTTAGTTTCAGATCTCCATCTGAACAACCATATAACCAGAATGTTAAACACAGGTTGAAGTACTAGAGAGTATTGTGATTAGTCACTAAGATTCCTTAAAATCCTGAAATTGTGTGTGCTTTTGATTATATCTATATAAAAATGGGAAATAGCGCTAGAAATGGAAAAAATAATAGAACAAAATCAACACTACAGAAGACAGAGAAGAAAGTTAACAACTAAAGAAAAAAATTATGGAAAAGTCATGGAAAAAGAAAAAATACTCTTAAGAAAGCACATGGAATTAGGCAGGATAGTGTCCTAAAGGGAAAACTAAACTAGGGAGTCAATAAGTAGAGAAATCAATTATAAATAGCCTCTATTTATATGCTAAATATAACTAATATGATAAGTAAATGTAACACAAATATCCTTCACTTAGAAAAAAATATTTCCTCTTTAGAAAGTGGCTGGTCTTGTTTATGTTAAACCTATGCTCTTGTGGCTATAGCTAAGTGAGATCTGCCCTAAAATATTTGATGGTAAAAACAAGATACTGATTACCACTGAAATTGCCACTGAAATATACTAGAAAAAACTCTTAGACTAACAAGGCTTCTAAGAAAAACTATAAATCAGAGTTAACTAAATTTGACTTTCTGAATTGATCTGGTCTGGACCTATCCCTTGATTCTAGTGCTATATAGGTCTCTGCCAATCTATGCAGAGGGGCAAGAGAAGGGATTTGGGAGTGAGGCAGGCTGCCTGTCAAATCATAATCAGCTACTTGTTAACTATGGGGACATGGGACAATTAATCAACCTCTCTGACCACAGTTGGCTAACTAGGAAAAAGTAGGTTATAATAACAGAGAACCTTTCAAAATTGCTGTGATAACTATATGAGATAAGATGAGATAAGCACGTAAAATAGTGTCTACCCCAGAATACAACACTCAACAGATGTTAGTTTCTTTTCTCTATATTGCCTTAGGTAACATATACTTTTAAAAACTTTAAGTCCTACCTTTTTACAGGATTTTCAGGAATCTCATCCACTATTAAAGAAAAAAGAATACATTTTAAGTCAACAATGGAAAAACACAGAATATTTGAAGTCTTGATAAGAGGGCCCAGTTATGTATGTGTGTAATCCCAACTACTCAGGAGGCTGAGGCCAGAGAATCACTTGAGGAGCTCAGGAGTTTGCAACCAGCCTGGGAAGCATAGTGAGACTCTGCCTTCATTAAAAGAAATCATGTATACTTTCATGCATGCTTTAGATCTTTTTTTTTTCCACAAAGTATTCCTTTAGGACCATACTTTGAGAATTAATATTAATTATACTATTGGTAGGCAATTACTACATTAAGAATTCTTACTTCTCCTCCTTTGTATCAGTCAAATGCAAAAGAGAATGGGATTTGGCAAAATGTGAAACCTACAAGTGAATTGCTGTGTACAATAATCATAATCCTAACCAAACCCTATCAGATTGACTAGCATTGCTAGCAAACAGAGTCAAACTTCAACAGCATACTTTCTGAACTAATGAATTAGTAGCACTTAGAATAGAATATACAGTAAGGCTCCCTTATCCATGATAGGTGTGCAAAAACACACTCAACATATTTTTCCTCTGCGCTCACACCACAACCACCACCAACACAGAAGACCAAATGTTGAGGGTCACTACCAACAAGCAAGCAATCATTTCTGCAGTAGACATCAGCTGGGTGACCTCTAATTCCATTCCCATGTTGTCTAGCTGGAAATAGTGTCAGATCCCACAGTAGAAGGCTCAGTCCCCAAGGCTCCCCCATCCCCACACCAGACACAAGCCTGGGCCTTCAGAACTCCTGACCAACCATCTTCAAGGTTCTCACAATTCCCACTTTAGGTTTGATTAATTTGCTAGAGTAGTTCACAGAACTCAGGGAACCACTTACTTACATTTCTTGGTTATTTTAAGAATGGAAAAAAGGATACAGATAAATAATTACATAGGGCGAGGCATAGGAGAAGTGCAAAGTTTCAGACCCTCCAAGGGTACACCATCCTCCAGGAACCTCCACATACTCAGCTATCTGGAAGCTCTCGGAATGCAGTCCTTTTGGGTTTTTATAAAAATTTTACTACATAGCCATGACTGATTAAATCATTCATCATTGGTGATCGACTTAAACTTTGTCCCCCCACCTTTTCCCATGAGATTAAAGGGTTGGAGGGTGAGGCTGAAAGTTCTAACCCTCTCATCATGACTTGGTCTTTCTGGTGACAAGCCCGCATCCTGAAGCTCATTAGGGGCTGCCAGCCATAATGAATCATTCACATACAAAGAGACACCACTTTGGAGATTCTAAGGATTTCAGGAGTTGTTTGCCAAGAAAAGGGTTCAAAGATCAAATATATATTTCATAGTATCACATCTGTGGTTTTGCTTTCTGTGGTTTTAGTCACCCATGGTCACCTGATAGTTTGGCTATGTCCCCACCCAAATCTTATCTTGAATTGTAGTTCCCATAATCTGCATGTGTCATGGGAGGGACTCTGAGAGAAGTAATTGAATCATGGTGGGGATGATTCAATTATCATGCTGTTCTCATGAGAGTGAGTGAGTTCTCACAAGAGCTGATGGTTTCATAACGGGCTTTTTCTACCCTTTGCTCTGTACTTCTTCTTGCTCTTACCATGTGAAAAAGGAAGTGTTTGCTTCCCCTTTCACCATGATTGCAAGTTTCCTGAGCCTTCCACAGTGGAACAGTTAGTCAATTAAACCTTTTTCCTTTATAAGTTACCCATTCTTGGGTATGTCTTTATTAGCAGTGTGAGAACAAACTAATACATCACCCATGGTCCAGATGTTAAATGGAAAATTCCAGCAATAAGCAATTCATAAGTTTTATATTGTGTGTTGTTTTGAGTAGCATGATAGATTCTCCAGCCATCCCACTCCATCCCACCCGGGACATGAATCATCCCTTTGTCTAGTGTATCTATGCCGTATATGCTATGTGCACATTAGTCACTGACTTCATCTCCTCCTGACATCCAACCAACAACATCATCAAGGCTCAGTAATCCAGGATTACCAGAAGCAGATGATCCTCCTTCTGAAGGTTAATAGTAGCCTAAGACTACATCACAATGCCTATATCATTCACCTCACTTCATCTCATTGCAGAGGCTTTGTATCATCTTCATAAGAAGAAGCGTAAGTGGAGTACAAGAAGATATTTTGAAAGAATACACACACACACACACACACACACATAAACTTTTATTATAGCATACGTGAAGTTCTAATTAGAAAAAAAAAAAAAAGAGTCAGGCTGGCAGGGCCAGAAGAAAGCAGAGATAAGGCAAATTAGCTATGTCTTCCTTTCTTCATGATTCAGAAATTATTTTTAAAAAGAGGAACCAAATAAGTTATAGGTCTCCTTTTCTTTATGGCCCAGGACATACAACATTCCAGCACAGATAATGTATATAAGTCACAAACTTCCTGCTTACCATCAAACACTTCAATGTCTCAAACCCCACAGCAGACATTAGAATTCAAGTTAGCTCCCTGCTATTTTGGCATTATCAGTCAGCCTAAGGGCAATCCTATAAAATTTCCAGCAAGTTTTTGTTTCCTGGAAGTAGGTGTTTTTCTTTCAGGCTGCCCATTGCCTTCTTGCAACATATTTTCATGCCTTCTGTAATGAATCTGCCTTTCTCGATCTATAGCTGCCTTGGTAAATCCTTTTACCACCATGCCACAGGCCGAGATAGTTGGTATTATCCTATGACAGTATATTGTTATCACTGTCCTATTTTATTATTAGTTATTGTTGTTAAGCTCAGACTGTGCCTAAATCTCACATTAAACTTTATCACACATATGTATGTATAGAAAAAACATTGCATATATAGGGATGGATAGTATGCAAACACTCAGGTATTCACCACAGGTCCTGGAACATATTCCCCATGGATAAAGGGAGACAACTGTACTTATTTTGTTATCATACAACATAACTTCTCCAACTCTTCAGTTAAAATTATTTAGTTTAGAATAAAATGCTTTATCACAAGGAAGCTAGGTCTATGGGCACCATACTATGTTTTACAGCAAAACAGAAAATCGACCAGAAACAAAGATTCTTGCAGATCACTTTCTGCAAGTCAAAGATTCAGCAAATCACATTCCAGCCAATGGAGAAGAGTTCAAGAGAAATATTTTTATTTTTATTTACTTTTTTTTTTTTTTTTTTTTTTTTTTTTTTTTTTTTTTTTTTTGGGACGGAGTTTCACTCTTGTTACCCAGGCCGGAGTGCAATGGCGCGATCTCGGCTCACCGCAACCTCCGCCTCCTGGGTTCAGGCAATTCTCCTGCCTCAGCCTCCCGAGTAGCTGGGATTACAGGCACGCACCACCATGCCCAGCTAATTTTTTGTATTTTTAGTAGAGACAGGGTTTCACCATGTTGACCAGGATGGTCTCGATCTCTTGACCTCGTGATCCACCTGCCTCGGCCTCCCAAAGTGCTGGGATTACAGGCTTGAGCCACCGCGCCCAGCCAAGAGAAATATTAAAACGTAATCACTGTCACTAATCCTCTTTTAAGGAAGAGGCAAGTTAAATTTACTTAGTTCTAGTGAATTTCTCTGCCCTATGTATGACACAAATAAGGTTCAAATTTACCTACCATTTTACCTCCCAGGGAAAGAACCACTGAGAGATCACTTCTTTAAGAGTTTGCCACTCTGAAATGAACAAAGACTCCAAGAAATATGGGATTATGTGAAAAGTCATAATCTGCATTTGATCTGCACACTTGAATGTGATGAGGAGAATGAATCCAAGCTGGAAGACACTCTTCAGGATACTCTCCAGGAGAACTTCCCCAACCTAGTAAGACAGGCCAACACTCAAATCCAGGGAATACAGAGAACACCACAAACATATTCCTCAAGAAGAGCAACCCTAAAGCACATAATCATCAGATTCACCAGGGTTGAAATGAAGGAAAAAATGCTAAGGGTAGCCAGAGAGAAAGGTCGGGTTAACCACAAAGGGAAGCTGATCAAACTCACAGTGGGTCTCTCAGCAGAAACACTACAAGCCAGAAGAGAGTGGGGGCCTATATTCAACAACCTTAAAGAAAAGAACTTTCAACCCAGAATTTCATATCCAGTCAAACTAAGCTTCATAAGTGAAGGAGAAATAAAATTCTTTACAGACAAGCAATTGCTGAGAGATTTCATCACCACCAGACCTGCCTTACAAGAACTCCTGAAGGAAGCAGTAAACATGGAAAGGATTAACCAGTACCAGCCACTGCAAAAATGTAGCAAATGGTCAAGACCATTGACACAATGAAGAAACTGTATCAACTAACAGGCAAAACTACCAGCTAGTATCAAATTGACAGGATCAAATTCACACATAACAATACTAACCTTGAATGTAAATGGGCTAAATACCCCAATCAAAAGACACAGGCTGGCAAACTGGATAAAAAGTCACGACCCATCAGTGTGCTGTATTCAGGTGACCCATTTAGTGTGCAAAGACTTACATAAACTCAAAATAAAGGGATGGAAGAAGATTTACCAAGCAAATGGAAAGCGAAAATAAGCAGGGGTTGTAATCCTAGTCTCTGACAAAGTAGACTTTAAACCAACAAAGATCAAAAGAGACAAAGAAGGATATTACATAATGGTAAAAGGATCAATGTAACAAGAAGAGCTGTCTTAAATATATATGCACCCAATACAGGAGTACCCAGATACATAAAGCAAGTTCTTAACGTCCTACAAAGAGACTTAGACTACCACACAATAATGGTGGGAGACTTTAACACTCCACTGTCAATGTTAGACAGATCAATGAGACAGAAAGTTAACAAGGATATCCAGGACTTGAATGCAGATCTGGACCAAGCAGACCTAATAGACATCTACAGAACTCTCCACCCCAAATCCACAGAACATACACATTCTTCTCAGCACCACATCGCACTTACTCTAAAATTGACCACATAATTAGAAGTAAATCACTCCTCAGCAAATGCAAAAGAATGGAAATCATAACAGTCTCTCAGACCACAGTGCAATCAAATTAGAACTCAGGATTAAGAAACGCACTCAAAACTGCACAACTACATGGAAGCTGAACAACCTGCTCATGAATGATGACTGGATAAACAATGAAATGAAGACAGAAATAAAGATGTTTTTTGAAACAAAAGAGAACAAAGACACAATGTACCAGAATCTCTGGAACACATTTAAGGCAGAGACTAGAGGAAAATTTATAGCACTAAATACCTGCATGAGAAGTGAGGAAAGGTCTAAAATTGACAGCCAATAGTCAAAATTGAAAGAGCTAGAGGAGCAAGATCAAAAAAATTCAAAAGCTAATAGAAGACAAGAAATAACTAAGATTAGAGCAAAACTGAAAGACATAGAGAGATACAAAAAACCCTTCAAAAAAATCAATAAATCCAGGAGCTGGTTTTTTGAAAAGATCAACAAAATAGACCACTAGCTAGACTAATAAAAAAGAAAAAAGAGAAGAAGCAAATAGATGCAATATAAAACAATAGGGGGATATCACCACTGATTCCATAGAAATACAAACTACCATTAGAGATTACTACAAACAACTCTATGCACATAAACCATTAAATACAAAAGAAATGGATAAATTCTTGGACACTTGCCTCCTCCCAAGCCTAAATCAGGAAGAAGTCAAAACCCTAAATAGACCAATAAGAAGGGCTTAAGTTGAGGCAGAAATTAATAGCTTACCAACCAAAAAAAGCCCAGGTCCAGACAGGTTCACAGCCAATTTCTACCAGACATACAAAGAGGAGCTGGTACCACTCCTTCTGAAACTATTCCAAACAATCCAAAAAGAGGGAATCCTCCCCATATCATTTCATGAGACCAACATCATCCTGATACCAAAACCCGGCAGAGACTCAACAAGAAAAGAGAACTTCAAGCCAATATTCATGATGAACATAGATGCAAAAATCTTCAATAAAACACTGGCAAACTGATTGCAACAGTGCATCAAAAAGCTTATCCATCACAATCAAGCAGGCTTCATCCTGGGGATGCAAGGCTGGCTCAACATATGCAAGTCTATAGACGTAATTCACCACATAAACAGAACCAAAGACAAAAACCACATGATTATTTTAATAGATGCAGAGATGGCCTTTGACAAAATTCAACAGCTCTTTATGCTAATAACTCTCAATAAACTAGGTATTGACGGAATGCATTTCAAAATAATAAAAGCTATTTATGACAAACCAACAGCCAATATCATACTGAATGGACAAAAACTGGAAGCATTCCCTTTGAAATCTGTGACTAGATAAGGATTCCTATTCAACATAGTATTAGAAGTTCTAGCCAGAGCAATCAGGCAAGAAAAAGAAATAAAGGGTATTCAATTAGGAAAGGAAGAAGTCAAATTGTCTCTATTTGCAGACGTCATGATTGTATATTTATAAGACCCTATCATCTCAGCCCAAAATCTCCTGAAACTGATAAGCAACTTCAGCAAAATCTCAGGTTACAAAATCAATGTGCAAAAATCACAAGCATTCCTATACATCAATTTGACTTAAAGAAAGCCAAATCAAGAACAAACTGCCATTCACAATTGCTACAAAGAGAATAAAATACCTAGGGATACAACTAACAAAGGATGTGAAGGACCTCTTCAAGGAGAACTACAACGAAATAAGAGAGGACAAAAACAGATGGAGAAACATTCCATGCTCATGGTTAGGAAGAATCAATATAGTGAAAATGGCCATACTGCCCAAAGTAATTTATGGATTCAACACTATCCCCATCAAGCTACCAATGACCTTCTTCACAGAAGAAGAACTACTATGTACAGCATATCATGTCATATTTTTCTGTGATATTAGTGGTCTGCAAGAAATATTTTAAAGATATCAGTTTCTCCAAACTGCTGATCTGTAAACTATTTCTGATCAAAACTTAAAATTTTGTCAAAACATGGATTTTTTTTTTTTTTTTTTTTTTTTTTTGAGATGGATTCTCACTCTGTTGCCCAGGCTGGAGTACAGTGGTGCAATCTGGGCTCACTGCAACCACCACCTACCCGGTTCAAGTGAGTCTCCTGCCTCAGCCTCCTGAGGAGCTGAGACTACAGTCATGTGAAACCACACCAAGATAACTTTTAGTAGAAATGGGGTTTCACCATGTTAGCCAGGAAGGTCTCGATCTCTTGACCTTGTGATCCACCTGCTTCGGCCTCCCTAAGTGCTGGGGATTACAGGCGTGAGCCACTGCACCCAGCCATGGCTGCATTTTGATTCCATGTCAGAGAAAGGAAATGAGTATCCCAGTTTTTGCTGTCAGATTTTTGTTTGGGAATACATCCAGAACTGCTTATCAAGGGTTTGAGTACAAAACAAGCATTTCCACAAAAACCAGTAAGAGAGACTACACTTTTCCTCATGTGGACCCTTAGGTTCTGACAATTCTTGGAAAATGTTGGCACAGGAACTCACCAGTCTAGGCCTGACTCTGTGTAGGTAGCTGCCGCAGTTATAAAAATACTAGGTAGGATTTTGATAGGTGTATTCTTCCTCTCATACTTGAACACCAGAAGTACCATGTACCTAAATAGTAGACCTTACAACCCCAAAAGTGTTCTTTTGAAGAGGGTACCATCAAAGAGCTTTGAAAATATTAATTTAACTTACTTTTTAGTACTCTTACTTGTAAGAATTTATATTCTCCCTCCTTGAAATTCTCATATTTTTGAAATTTTTACAGCATCCCTTCCTCTGATAAACTCTCCTACTTTTCTCTAGCCACTGCTCAGGCTTCTTTACTAACTTCTTTTCCTCTGGGAAATGTTGATATTCCCAAGTTCTTGTCACTGCCTTCTGTTTATTCCATGTCTTTTCCGCCATGGAGAAGCTCATTTAGATGTATGATTTTGCCTACATTATTCCAAGTCTGCATCTCCAACCTCACTTCTACCTCCAGCTAGAAATGCCTAAAATTCAATTACCTACTGAAAATACCCTACATGAATATTTCATTCAACTCAACATGCACAGAAAGAGGTTAGTCCTTCCTGCTGATCTGTTGTTCTTCTCCATTCACCAGCAAATCTCCTACTCCTTCCTCATGTCCAGGTTAAATGCTAGTTCACAACCTGGAAACCCATGAATCATCTGAAATCTCACAGATTTCTCTCTGTGCCCTAAATTTATACATTCAATAATCACTAACTCATATTATCTCTATCTCTTTTCTGCCTCTGCTTCATATTTTTCCACTGGTTCTTAACTACTAGCTTTTATAGGCTACCAACTATTAATATTATTTCTTAAATTAAAAAACAAGCAAAACAAATGAAAAATGCAAAAATCAAGAGAAAAACAAACATTTTAAAATTACTAAGTAGCTTTCTGACATCACTTATTTCACCGTGGATGGGTGAAAACCTCATAATGGATTGATGCTAGTCTAAGGGTTGGCGACAAGGAAGTTATAGCTTTGGCTACTGCAAAAGCTTCCTTTGTCTTCCAGTCTCTTTATGTGGTACCTTCCATCTAGCCTCCATATGAGAAGTCATCCACTACAGGCCACAGGCCAAGCCCAGCCTGCCTAATGGTTTTGTAAATAAAGTTTTGTAACTGCTTTTACACTACAATGGCAGGGTTGAGTAGATATGGCAGAGACCACGTGGCCTAAAATATTTCCCACCTGGTCCTTTACGTAAAAAGCTTATGAATACCATAATCAGAATGTCCTAATACCCAAATCTAATCTTGTGACTTTTGTTCTCACAATTCTATAATGAATTCCTACAGAAAACATTTGCTGTCTCCCTACCTAATGATCATTTATTTTTTTCTAGCTGGAGAACCACAAGTCTATTTGAGTATTTATCATCCTAATATCGCTCCCCATCCTCAACAAGAGAAATGACTATTCTAATCTAATCACAGTAATTGCATATGTTTTCCCAGTGCCTGGTTTAGGAATAAGTATGTGGTGTAACCAAGCCAATAAAATGTGAAAGAAAGCCCACTGCAAGCTTCTGACTTTTCTCTCTATTTCAAAGAAACATGGAAAGAAAAGCAGCCCTTCCAGCCTTCAGAAATTGTATTGTGAGAACATGATGTTAGGAGCTACTGCTAATTAGCCAGCCATGAAAGGAGACATGAACAAAACACTGCCAACAGCACAGCTGAAATAGGAAGACCAAATGGGACCCAGTGTTATCACTGAACCGGCCACCAAAGCAACTCTGCTTCCTACTGTTTTAGTCACTGTTAGTCAGGTCCTTTGGTATTTGCAGCCCAAAGCACTCCACCGGGTAAATTTCCCATAGCCTGCAGGTAAGATCTACTCGGTTTTATAGTATTAAAAAGCCCATCAGGAGCTTGCCTTACCTAAGTTTTTCCCTCATTCCCAACCACTCTCATTTCAGTTTCTGCAACAGCAAAACAGGGCCGCTCATAAACCCTGCAAAGTTCACTCAAGCCTTTTACCTTTTGCACCTGCTGCTCCTTCTCCCAAACATGCCATCTTGTTTGATGTTCCTTCTGCCAAAAACACAAACTTGTTAAATGTTCCTTCTGCCCACATCATCCTTCTGCCTCTTTATCAAGAAAAGGTCTACCCCTTCTGCATGCTTACCTGAAATCCTACCCCACTTTTTAATAGCTTTCATTCCTCACCACATGCTTAAAGTGTCTGGCACATATTTAACATAATAAATGATCATTAGATGCTTCCAGACGGCATCTAGCACACAGTAGAAGGCACTGAATGAAGTAGCAAATAACATAAATGAAAATGATCGTAACAAGCTCCTGACTGTTTTTTGTTTGTTTGTTGAGATGGTCTTACTCCATTGCCCAGGCTGGAGTGCAGCCTCCAAGTCACTGGGACTACAGTTGCATGCTACCATGCCCAGCTAACTTTTTCATTTATTTTTATTTTTAGTAGAGTTGAGGTCTCACTATGTTGCCCAGGCTGGTCTCAAACTCTTAGGCTCAAGCAATCCTTTTGCTTCAGCCTCCCAAAGTGCTGGGATTATAGGTATGAGATACCATGCCCAGCCCTGACTGTATTTTTTTTTGAGATGGAGTCTCTCTCTGTTGCCCAGGCTGGAATGCAGTGGTGTAATCTCAGCTCACTGCAATCTCCATCTCCAGTATTCATGCAATTCTCCTGCCTCAGCTTCCCAAGTAGCTGGCATTAGAGGCATATACCACCATACCTGACTAATTTTTATATTTTTAGTAGAGACAGGGTTTTGCCATGTTGGCAAGGCTGGTCTCGAACCCCTGACCTCAGGTGATTCACCTTCTTCGGGCTCCCAAAGTGCTGGGATTACAGGCCTGAGCCACCACACATAGTCCAACTGTATTTTTAAATGTTTTTATTTTGTAACATGGAAAAAAAGAAGCTTACTCTCTAAAAGACACTTGATAGTTTGTTAAATGGACAAAGTATATAAATGAATAAAAACATTTTCTTTGAAAATTGTCAGCCAGGTACAGGGGCTCATGCCTGTAATCTCAGCACCGTAAGAGGCTGAGGCAGGTGGATTACCTGAGCTCAGGAGCTCAAGACAAGCCTGGCCAACATGGTGAAACCCTGTCTCTACTAGAAATACAAAAATTGGCCGGTCATGGTAGCAAGCATCTGTAATCCCAACTACTTGGGAGACCGACGCAGGGAGAATTGCTTGAATCCGGAAGGCGGAGGTGGCAGTGAGCCAAGATCACACCACTGCTCTCCAGCCTAGGTAACAAAGTGAGACTCCATCTCAAAAACACAATAATAATGATAATAATCTTGAAAAAATCACAGATATGAAATAAGGACTGCTGTAGTCTATTATGAGCACCTTAAAGACCAAGACTGGCCAGGCGCAGTGGCTCACACCTGTAATTCCAGAACTTTGGGAGGCCAAGGTGGGCAGATCATGAGGTCAGGAGATCGAGACCATCCTGGCTAACACTGTGCAACCCCGCCTCTACTAAAAATACAAAAAAATTAGCCGGGGTGGCGGCACATGCCTGTGGTCCCAGCTACTTGGGAGGCTAAGGCAGGAGAATCACCTGGACCCGGGAGGTGGAGGTTGGGGTGAGCCGAGATTGTGCCACTGCACTCCAGCCTGGGTGACAGAGTAAGACTTCATCTCAAAAAAAAAAAAACAAAAAGACCAAGACTATGTGTTTGTCACCTGTGGCTTGCAAAATCTAACTTATAAAAGTTATTTGATTAATATGTACTAAATTAAAAGTGTCCTCATACAGTTCAGACTGTACAATGTATTAGGTGTCACATCTAGGTAGCATAGTAGCATTTTTGTTATTGTGAAGCACTTTTATTATAATTTGTTGAGCCTAGAGTTTGGCCATTGGGTATTCATTACAATAACCTTTGGCCTACTAGTAACAGAGAATTTTGTTCTAACAAAATTACTGCTATCATGACAATTAACTAGTGGATCTTGTTTTAATGAAGTAAATGTATCTCATTCAATTTCAAGTTAGGAAGAACGAAGTCAATAAGTGAGACCTTGTTGGTATAATGATATGTAACATGACCTGTGCTTTTCAACAAGAAATTCTTTTTCTGACTTCTACACTTGGTATCTTTAAAAAACAATCTTCTATTAGTATTAGTGCCCACTGGATAAGTTTTTCGGTTCTTAGTGACATTTGTTTATGTTACCAAAAAGGTATTGTTGAGTTACCAGTTTTAAAAAGTTACTTTTTTGGTGTGACATAAATCACTATGTAATACAGTCGACCTTTGAATAACAGGAACTTGACCTGCAGCGGTGTAATTATATGCAGATTTTCTTCTACCTCTACCACCTGAGACAGCAGGACCAATCTTCTTCCTCCTTCTTCTCAGCCTACTCAACTTGGAGAGGATGATGATGACCTACTTCCACTTCCACTTAATAAATAGTAAATATATTTTTATTCCCTATGATTTTGTTAATAACCATTTTTCTCTACCTCATTTTCTTATAAGAATATAATATGGTAACACATGTAACATACCAAATGTCTTAACTGACTGTTTTTGGTCAATAGTCACCTATTAGTAGCTAATTTGGGGGGAAGTCAAAAGTTATACACATATTTTCAGCTGCACAGGGGATCAGTACCCCTAAATCCTATGTTGTTCAAAGGTCAACTGTAATTGATATTTATTTACTAAACAAAAACCATTTATTTTAAAAATTAAATAGACGCTCCAATTTCATTAACACATTCCATTTGTTATAATGAGACTATAAATAAAACATACCACATACTAACTTAAAAATCTTTTTTCTTATTTATACAAAAATTATACAAAAAATATCTAATTGTAGATTTTAGGGACTACAATTAAATAAATGATTCCTTTCAGATAATACTGTTTGAGATTATGAATTATCTACACATAACTTTCTTAATAATTCTGAAATCTAACCTACTAAGAAGAAACTTAAAACACACATACATATATGTATAATATGCAATTTACATAGTAAGTTTTTAAGCTGCTCTTTGGTAATTAAAACTTCCTTACTCTTATTTGTTAATCTATGGTAAGACCACCAAGAGTAATTTACCTGGAAGTCTTACCTGGATTGCTATTTTGAGGATTTCCAGCTGTATTATTTTCTTTGTATTCAGACATTAGTTGGTGAATGCTATGTCTAAAAATGCAATAAGTAAAATTACTATTTTAAAACTGATATAAAAACAATTACCAAATATATTAAATTCTTAGAGTATTTCAAATAATATTGGTGTTAATTTTAGAACTTTAATTATCCCATATACTTCTCATTTGTAAGCTCTACAAACTTCTTTTTAAGTTTCTAATTAAAGAAGAAAAAAAGTAAGATGAAGTACCCATGAATATAGTTCAGTACATTAACTTGCATTAGCCTGACATAAGGGAAAGCATCCTAACTCAGAAAAAGTCCTAGCTCTATAGTCAAAAGCTATTAGTTCTTGGGTAAGTTGCTTTTGTTAGGTTCAATGTCTTCTTCTAAAAAGTGAGACTTTTATTGTCTTGTTTCACTAGGTTGTTATAAAAATTTAATGAGATAACATGTTTTGAATGCTCAGAAAAATAGTGAAGCAATGAAATAATTTGTTCTTGAACTTTATTGGTGAAACTGTCTTGGAACTGCAAATAAAGTCCAATGTGTTTTTTATATGTTCTAATATTGAAACATTGTGTTTTTGGGGAAATGTTATTAAATCCTAACTTTGTCTATTAGGTGTTCTACTCTTTGTGGCTTTTAATTTAGGGCATCTCATATATTTCATAGTTTGTAACTACATTTATTTACAAACATATTATCTCATTAATTAGATAACATAATTGTCCACTGTTACTGAGCTCAACAGCAAGGGCAGAAAACTAATGGATATCAAGACCTGCCTTGAACTATGATTCTACTTTACAGGCTCAAACTCCGAGCCAGTAGATCTTTGTAGAATGATGCTTAATCTCCATGTTTACCTCCATTTGACACAAAAGATAAAACTATTTTTTTAAGTTCCATGAAGGAGATGCAGGGTGACATCTTCTCATTTCTGAGATACATACTAATAATATATTTGCACACAACATCCCCATGCTTTACTCAGCTCCATTCTCATTCCATAGATCACTCTATGTGAATATTTTGGTAGTGAAGATCACAATTTCACTATTAAGTGTGCCAACCATTTTGCTTTGACTCATCCTGTTTCCTTGGAGCTAATCAGAAAATTGTCAAAGGACCTTCCGGGAGCTGCACAAAATATGAACCACCTCATGAATTTGTGTGTCATCCTTATGCAGGAGCCATGTTAATTCTTCTGTATTATTCCAGTATTAGTATGTGAGCTGCTGAAGTAAGCATAAAACCCTACATTATATGTGAATACTCATCAGTCATGGATGAGACTTAGCTCTGATAAACCCAATAAACCTACTTGAGATTCAGAGAATTCTGTTGAATGGCTTCCTGTGAGGTAGAATATGAAAATATTTTTAAAACTGAAGGTAGAAATGCAAAGAACTTGGGAGATTTTCACTATTGTGGAAAACAGATTACTTGAGGATAAAACTACAAATTGGAAAAAGAAAAGCAAAGAGAAAAACCCCACAAATTGGCACCCATGCCGTGGGGAAGGATATCGAACCTTCCACTACCTAAGAAAATGTGCTGAATAGGATATAAAGGAGCCTCAGGGTACAGATCTGGTGGCAATGGAGTAAGAAAACACTGATCTCTTTCTGCAACATAATTTGATCCTCTTTAACAGGTTAGAACAATCTCAACTAATGTTTGATAGAGAAAAGACAAACAAGGCCTCAAAGGATAACTTACCATGAAGTCCTGGGCTATGTCTAGGCTAAGATGGGGGCTCCACATAAGGTTTTGAATGTGGAGGAAGTTTGGTCAATTTTCTCACCATGTGTGTGGCTAAAGCTAGAATGCCCAGCTGTCAGAGCAGGATGCTTTGGGAACAANAAAAAAAAAAAAAAAAAGAAAGAAAAAGAAAAGAAAAGAAAAAAACCCCACAAATTGGCACCCAAGCTGTGGGGAAGGATAATATAGAACCTTCCACTCCTAAGAAAATGTGCTAAACGGGATATAAAGGAGCCTCAGGGTACAATGGAGTAAGAAAACACTGATCTCTTTCTGCAACATAATTTGATCCTCTTTGACAGTTTAGAACAATCTCAACTAATATTTGATAGAGAAAAGACTAACAAGGCCTCCAAGGATAACTTGCCATGAAGTCCTGGGCTATGTCTAGGCTAAGATGGGGGCTCCACATAAGGTTTTGAATGTGGAAGAAGTTTGGTCAATTTTCTCACCACGTGTGTGGCTAAAGCTAGAATGCCCAGCTGTCAGAGCAGGATGCTTTGGGAATAACGGCTGAGCATACATATTTGTTAACTAAAAAAAAGTTGTAACTATAAAGTCTATGTATGAATCACCATGAAACCTGAGTACTCTGAAGCAGTAAGTGAATCCTGATGGAAAAGTCAAGCATTAACAGACTGTAGAACCACTTTCCATGGCAATAATGCAGGAAAAGAATCAATGGAAACAATAGAATGGTTACAATGTTGTTTTCTTCCCTTCCTTCTCACTGGTAAAGAATTATCTTTTTTTTTTTTTCTTATTGTACTTAGGAAACGCCTTAGGTTCTTGAAAAATTCAAGGAGGAAGGTATGAAAGACAGCCCTCAGAACACAGTACAAGATTTTCTGCTAAACTGAACATTTTAAGACCCAAATAACTAATTAGAAAAACCAGAGATGTGGCACTATTTTTATCCTGTGCATGTGGCTATACTTGGAGTAAATGGGGCAATGACTGGATCTCTAAGACAAAGATCTCAAAAGTCCTGAGATAAAGAATTCTGCACCCATTGATACTTCTAACCAGTCTAGTAGCGTTTTGCCTGATTTCTGGCTGATAAAGTGGACTGTCACCACAAGATGACCTGAATTAAACTATAAAATCTCACCTGATATATAGGATACAATAGCTATAATTATTTTAAGCTGCAGTTTAGTGTAAGCTAGCCTTCTAATGTAAAAACTTGCCTAGTAAAAGGACTAGAAATGACATAATTTTCTGCAGTCCATCCAGACAGATCTTGAGAAAACACATCAGCATTTTGCTGAAGAAGGCTGACTATACTTGCTGATGTGCAATGTATAGCAAGAACGAGGGCTGTTCGAAAATACCAGAGAGATAACTTCTTTCTTAGGAACTTTAAGAAAAGTATTTAAAAAGCTAATTTGATATTCTTTGCCAATTTAATATCTTGCCTTTCATGTAGAATTAAACATTTACATGTACTAACAAACATAAGCATCTTGGGTGCCTAAGTGTTCATCTTCATAAATTACCACCAATGCTAAAAAAAGGAGGGGGGACAAAAAGGAAGCCTCTTGTCCCAGTAGGGTATTATGTCATAGAAGTTGCTAACTTAAAGTTCTTTGATGAGCAAGAAACTATGCTGAGGTCACTTATCTAATGTAAGCAAAGATTTAAAGACAGATATGTTGTAATTCAAAACCAGCTAGGGGTCAGATAAGTAAGAGCTGTCTGCAGGCAGGAAACGATAATAATGGTAATAATAGTAATCATAGTAGTTTCAGTTGATGATGCCTAAACACATGTGCTAGGCACTGAATTAAATGCTACAAATACATACATATATATATAATCTTTCTTCCACACAATCACCCTTGAAGGATATATTATTATCCTCCTTTTCATATAGAAAAACATATTTAGTGATAAGTAATGTTCCCAGCTCACACACCTAACAAGAGAGAAAGCTAGGACTTAAACCCAGTCTTGTGTGAAACTAAAGCCTAGCTCTTTTCTCTTTATTACCCACCTATGGCTTGTCTTCCTTAGAAGAAAAGGCTATTCATTTAAAGCTATATTTTCTCCCTCTTCCCATAGCAATTACAAATAAAATCATCAGAGCTAGGAACAGTGGCTCAAGCCTGTAATCCCAGCGCTTTGGGAGGCCAAGGAGGGCAGATCACGAGGTCAGGAGATCGAGACCATCCTGTTTAACATGATGAAACCCCGTCTCTACTAAAAATACAAAAAATTAGCTGGGCATGGTGGTGCATGCCTGTAGTCCCAGCTGTTTGGGAGGCTGAAGCAGGAGAATCATTTGAACTCGGGAGGCAGAGGGTGTAGTGGGCCAAATTGTGCCACTGCACTCCAGCCTGGGGTGACAGAGCGAGACTCTGCCTACAATAAAATAATAATAATAATGATAACATCAATATATACTAGAAATGAAATAGAAGAAAACCAATGAACCCAAAGTAACTGGTAACAGCAATTAACAGCCATGTAGGAACAACTTAACATTACTGTTTTTCAAAGGAAGCAACTTAAAAAGTCATCTAGAAAAAATAATGATTTTCAATGCCTATTTATGTCTAATACAGCATGTTTAAAGGAAGAGCATATAAGAAACAGAGGTTAAAAAAACTACTATGAAAGGGTTAAGAAGTTCAATATTTATTAAGTCTTAAAGTATACTAAAAGTTAAAATCCACATTTCATAAAACGAATAAAACCAATATCAAAACCCTTTGGTCAGATCATATGACCAAAAACATCACATTACAAATAACAAACACCAGTCAATATAATAAGAAAAGATGAATCCTACTATATACTGTTCTCTATGTTGCCCAGCCTAGTTTTTCTACTTAACCAATGATTTGTGTTGATATTTTTTACTGTATCACAATAATTATGTTAATCTTATTAATCTAATATTTCTAACTAGAGACTGTTATCACTATAGAATATCAGCCAGCTTTTTAAAAAAAACTAATTACTGTACCTTTCAGACTTAACTGCAGTTAAATTTTCTTCTTGCTTTACTAAAAATTCTATCATTTCCTGTTTTGCTTCATGTATAGCTAGTAAAAATGGTGTGACTTCATCCTGTAAAACAGCAAGAAGAACCGATAACTCACGAAATTATATACCTCTCATCTGAACTGGAAGCCTTATATTTATGCAAGATCCTACAGACTTAAACATATAATATAGAAATTAAATAATAAGTAGTCCCTTCTTTTTTATTCTTCTGTGCTTTCCCATTTGCTGTTCCTTCCTGTGGAAAAACCTCATCCCCCTCATCACTGAAATCTGGTCATCTCCAAAACTCACTTCAATACCAGTGCCAATCATCTTTGCTTCTGTCACAGCACTTAGCACAGTATATTGCAATGATTTTACTATTTTTCATGTAAACCAAGAGCTTCTTGAGAGCAGGGGCTTTACCTTCTATATCTATGTTCCCAAATCTTAAGAAATATTAGTAAATGCTTCAAGCGTTTTCACTAATGATCTAAATTACTGCCTCTAGAGCAGTGTTTCTTACACTGCATTCCAAAGAATGTTTACTTTGCCAGATGTTAAAGACTGTACTCCAACAGAAGGATTCCATGATCATGGATGTTTGAGAAATGGTACAGAACTGTGCATTATATGTCCGGTAGTCAAGAAATCTCTTACACTTTGCCTAATCCCTTTTTGACAACACTGTTTTGTGGCAAACATTGGCATTTGAGAAATCAGCATTTCAGGGCTACAGCTGTGAGAGCTTTCCAGTAAGGTGGAGGTTTCCTCCAGGTTATATACAAACTCACTTGCTTCTCTTCTGTCAATGGTGTCAGAATCCCAGATGCCAATGTCAGGCATTCCTGCTGCAAATGAGTAACTAAGAAAATGGTCTGTGAATTAAATCAGCTTCAAATGAACTTCCACTGCTTATTAGTAAATGCTCCATGAGTTTTCTCCTTTTTAAAGGTAATAGATTTTTATTTTAGCCGTTAGAAACATCTGTATAAAATGTTATTCTCAATTATCATTCTAATCCTAGGACCCTAATGCGTTATCTACTTATTTTAATTTTTTTTTTTCTGAGATGGAGTCTGGCTCTGTCGCCCAGGCTGGAATGCAATGGCATGATCTCAGTTCACTGCAACCTCTGCCTCCAAGGTTCAAGCAATTCTCCTGCCTCAGCCTCCCAAGTAGCTGGGATTACAGGTGCCTGCCACCACACCCAGCTAATTTTTATATTTTTAGTAAAGACGGGGTTTCAACATGTTGGCTAGTTTGGTTTCAAACTCCTGACTTCAGGTAATCTGCCTACCTTGGCATCCCAAAGTGCTGAGATTACAGGCGTGAGCCACTACATCCGGCCTTTATTTTTTTTATTATTTTTTATTATTTTTATTTTTTGGAGATGGAGTCTCGCTCTGCCACCCAGGCTGGAATGCAATGATAGGATCTTGGCCCACTGTAATCTCCGCCTCCCGGGGTTCAAGTAATTCTCCTGTCTCACCCTCCCAAGTAGCTGGCACTACTGGCATGTGCCACCACGCCTGGCTAATTTTGTATTTTTAGTAGAGACGGGATTTCACCATGCCGGTCAGGCTGGTCTAGAACTCCTGACTTCAGGTGATCACTCACCTCGGCCTCCCAAAGTCCTGGGATTATAGCGTGAGTCACTATGCCCAGCCTCAAATCTACTTTTAAAATTCAGTTTTGGCTGGGGCGGTGGCTTATGCCTGTAATCCCGGCACTTTTTTTTACATTTTATTTTAGGAAAAAATAGGAATCAGAAATAAAAATACAATGACTTATCATTAAAAGTTCTCCTACTGATCTATCTATCCCTATCATGATGGAAGTCACTAAATCACTTGCATTTCTAAGGAATGATGCTGAGGAGAAAGATATAATGTTGTCTGCAATATGCATAACATATCCAGCTAGAAGGACTTACTGGCATGCTAATGAGAAGGTGCTTATTTATGGCAAATATAAACAATAAGAGTTATCTTACATTAAATATAAAGAATATGTACCATAAATAAAAAGAATATAGAATTTATCAGTTTTTTAAAAACTTCTAAATTTTAGAATTCAAGCCCAATGCTAAGGGATTTATATAAAATATAGATTATATATTATAAACAAATAGAAACTGTCTTGAAAGCCTTGACATCTTTATCAAAATATACTATAAGATGAGAGTTGTCAAATGCTTACAAGGGCAAAGGGGGAGGCCTAAGTGAGGTGCCTAGATGGGCACCACGGCAAACTAGAGAACACAGGCCTCACAGAAAGGGGCAACCTCTGCTCAACAGACCAAACAGTGATATGAGCTCAAGGGACACCAGATTTGATGCTTAAGAGAAGCCTAAAATCCAGATTTATGTATTAGTCTCCTAAATTTTACATGTTGACACAATTTATGAAGGCAAGTGAAACATACCTATGGGCCACATTTAGACCGTAGCCCTTACATTTTTTAACTTGCCGTGGATATGTTACCACATGGTTGTGCATAAAGCAGGTATTTGCATGTAAACTATTTTCTTTCTTTGGTTTTGGATGTTTCACCAAAAAGCCATCCCCAGCATGTAATAAAATTTGCTTCTAAGATTCACAGTACCCATTTCAATAATTTTTATAACATTTATTCATTTAAAATCTATTAGTAAGTAGTTTTCTGAGATTGTCAACCAAATATTTAGTTCATAGGAATGATGAAACTGAATTGTTAAAAAAAATTCTGCCTGTACTCTTAGTAACTTCATGGTTTTCAGGGTTTAAAACTGTCATCCTGATTATGCCTAAACTCTATGAACAGACACAATGATATAGCCCATAATACAGCTTCAATGAAAAAGAGGTTTAGAATTTGCTACAATTCTAATTGAGGAAACTCCACTGGTAATAAAGATTTATTGACCTAATCACATGAATGTTAACAAAGAGATGTGAAGTCCTGAAGGGGTCAGCCTCCACTTAGTGAAATACTTCCCAGGCTGAGTGCAGTAGCTCATATCTTTAATCCCAGCGCTTTTGGAAGCTGATGCGGGACTCTTTGAGCACAGAGTTTGAGGCCAGCCTGGGTAACATAGTGAAACCCTGTATTTATAAAAAAATTAAAAATTGGCTTGGCATGATGGTATATGTTTGTAGCCTCAGTTACTCAGGAGGCTAAGGTAGGAGGATCACTTGAGCTCCTGGAGGTTGAGGCTGCACTGAGCTGTGATTGTGCCACTGTAGTCCAGCCTAGGTGACAGAGCAAGATCCTGTCTCAAAAAAATTTAAAAAAAGAAAGACTACCCAGAGCAAATTTATAAAGACTCTCTGAATGGCAGTGAATAATTAATGGCAGGAAGGAAAATGTGCTATCTATTGCCAGTAATATTTCTTTTAGCTTCCCAACCACAAAGGTAAAGAAAAATGGGCTAATATTATTGAAAAGGAAAAATCTAAAGTAGTACCTATCAAACGCCTACTTTTCTAGAGATTTCTTAACTCTAGAAGAGTTTTGGGAGATGGTAATTTATATATTACACTTATCTATTTAGTGATTCTTAACCAGGCATGTATCAGAATTCTGAGGAACTTGCTGTTATTTAGTCAGAGACGGGGTCTTACTATGTTGACCAGGTTGGATTTAAACTCCTGGGCTCAAGCAATACCCCTACCTCAGCCCCCTGAGTGGCTGGGACTGCAGCCATATCTCACCGTGCCTGGCTCCAAGGAAATATTTTTAAACATACATGTCTAGACTTTATTAGATTTACTATATCAAAATCATCAGAGGAGAGGTTAGCTTTGTAGATTTTTAAAAAATTTCCCTAGATTACGGTTATGCACAATTCTAGCTGAGAACTAGTCCAATCGACAATTACTTCCGTCATGTCTCACCACATGACAAATTACCTTTTTCTTTGAGGATTTGGCCAAAAAGAGGAAAGGGTAAGAGACAGTTATTTACTGAAAACTCTACGTAATTTGTTTGGGTAGAAGAAGAATAGGGACTAGTAAACTCAAAATCCAACTTTACTTTGCTATATATAAACTCCTAATCTCCCACCATATCCTCAAGACAGTCTGGATTTGAGAACAGCGTTTAGACATTTATCTAAGTGGCTGTTTCTGCCAGAATAGGATAAGTCGGTTAATTACTTGCTTGAGGGTTTCCCACTTCATCACCAATATTTACAGCCAATCTGGTTTCCTCACAGTCCTCCTAAAATTTATCTCTAGACAAGTGTACAACTCATTAACTGTCTCCCACACTGAAAACTATAATCCTCAAAGCTGAAAAGAATCTTGTCTAGACACATAAACCGGAAACAAAGAAGCAAACAAAAGCAAAAAACAGCAAAAAATCTTCTTGGTCTTTTCCCTCAATTACCTAATTTCCAAATTGGCCTGCATATTTCTGATTGCTTTCCTTTCCCTTTCCATTTTTCCCTCTTAAGCCCCACCACTGAGAGTCAAATCATTTTCACATATATTACTCTATGTAGGAGCTTGTCACGAGCATCAAGATTTCTGTTTATTTAAAATGTTTTAGTTTTCTTGGCACTTTAAGATAAAGCCTAATTCCAGTGCAAATTCTACTTTCCAGGATTATTATATACTAATTAGAAAAAAAAAAAACCTGGGAGAAAAAAATTAAAAAGGATTACCTTTTACAAATTTGGTGTTTTCAAAATTGTTTACCATACATAAAAAAGATGTACCCTCTAATGCATCTTTAAAAGTATCAATATTTAAAGTTTTATAATTATTTCCAAATATTTTTATTTAGGTTATGTCGGAGATTCCAAACATGAAAAACTGAGTCATACATCAGTCAATGCAACCAATGCATTTCAAATATTTTGAAAATAAAGTTGGTTAATCTATACCTTGTTTGCTAATCCAATATTGGCATGATGCAAAAGCAGTTTTTTTGTCATCGGGATATCCTCATTGTAGACAGCATAATGTAGGGCAGTATTGCCATAGACATCTGGAAGATCTGGGTCAGCGCTGTGTTTTAGCAAAGTAGTCGCACATTCCTCTTTCTGGCATTGTACTGCCTGTCAGTATTAGACCAAATAATAGATTGTAAATTCTAGGAGCTCAAAATAAGCATTCCACAACTTTCACCAATGAGTTATGCTTAAACAAGATGAATTGTATTTTATTCTATGTATTTGTACCAAATCCATCTCATGCTGAAATCATTGGCTACTACGTACCTTTACCAGAGGTGTCCTGTTTTTGTCATCAAAGACATTAAGTTGACATCCGCTGTTCACCAGAAAAGCTACCACTGTTGCATGGCCATTGGCACAGGCCAAATGCAGAGCAGTCCTGTGAAAGGGAGACAACATTTTTAGGAAACTATCTGAAAACATAAAATCATCTGAACACATAAAATCATCTATGTAATTATAAACATTGAGTAGCATGTGATTTCTCTACCTTCCAAACAAATATTTAATTTTTTGTGAGGCAATCATACTTTTTACCCCCTATTATTACTCACTACATAAAGAGCAGCCTATTTCAATAGAAATACTTTCGCCTTTGGATTCAGTTCAAATTGGATGGGAGTCCTACTTTAAACTCTGTCATTACCTACCTATTACTTACTCTTTCTTGCCTCAATTTCCTAATTAATAAAATGGGGGTTAAAAATATTGACTGTCTCACAGGACACTATTTTGATGCTTCCATGAGACTCTATGCAAAGTATTGAGAACAGTTCCTAGCGCAAATAACACCTTAATATTTGTTAGATATTATAATTATTACTAATGCTAATACTTAACAAAGACAAGGTTTTAGTTAAGTAAAATGATACAATTATATCTACTTTGAGGTATGTTTAAACATGAGAGGTAACATTGTCTTTTGATAATTCTAAGTTGCTCATTTGCTCATATTTTCACATCTCTAACATTAGAATCCCACTTATAATTCTTGACTTATTACAACTAAAATTGGCCACATTTAAATAATTCTCTTATTGAGATACAAAATGATAGGGTATCACACAATCCACCATGCCTTGCGGTAAGTAGAATTGATGTATACGACCACATCTAGGGGAGTTCTAGTCAGATAAATTGCATTTAAATAAATTTTAGTTCTCAAAAGTACTATAGAACAAGAGGACTGAAAATGAAGATGACAACAAATGTTTAAAACAAACTCATTCTTACTTTGATTTTCAAAAAAACACTTTAAGCCAAAAGAAACTCAGAATTCAAATGAAAGAGTATAGCTTATTTTCTATTTAGATTTATAGAATGAATGTAAATTAGGCACTTCCAATGATTAATATTCACGATTAAAACTGTTATAAATTTTCAAAAGGGCAGTTAAAAATTATATTTTGCAGCCAGTCATGGTGGCTCATGCCTATAATCCCAGCACTTTGGGAGGCCGAGGTGGGTGGATTACCCGAGGTCAGGAGTTTGAGACCAGCCTGGCCAACATGGCAAAATCCCATCTCCACTAAAAATACGAAATTTAGCCAGGTATGGTGGCACACACCTGTAATCCCAGCTACTCTGGAAGCTGAGGCAAGAGAATCACTTGAAACCAGGAGGCAAAGGTTGCAGCAAGCCAAGATCACACCATTGCACTCCAGTTTGGGGGACAGAGACTCCATCTCAAAAAGAAAAGTTTTATTTTTCTATTTTCTATCTTCACAAGTGCTTTTGTTTGAAAGGAGGGAGGAAAAGCTTCAATTGAGACTAAGTTCTAATACTCCAATATTAAATCTCTCAGCTTGCTCAAACTGGGCAGGTAAATATGAAGTTTTAAGGACAAAAGGGTCCTGAAAGATAGTAATATATGTGTGCTACATAACAGGTATTCAGCTTATGTTTGATGAATAAATCAACTGAAAGAATAGAGGCTGTGCATGGTGCCTCATGTCTGTAATTCCAGCTCTTTGGGAGGCCAAGGTGGGAGGATTGCTTGGGTGCAGGAGTTTGAGACTATGCCTGGACAACATGGTGAAACCCTGTCTCTACAAAAAGTACAAAAATTAACCAGGCATAGTGGTGCACACCGGCAGCCCCAGCTCCTCAGGAGGCTGAGGAGAGGATCACTTGAGCACAGGAGGTCGAGGCTGCAGTGAGCCATAATTGTGCCACTGCACTCCAGCCTGGGTAAGAGCCTGCCTCAAAAAAAACTTTTTTATAAAAACAAAAAATGGAAAAATACAGTTGGGGAGTTCAACATTTTAAAAGAAAACTCCCAGAAAATAAAGCAATACTTTTACAATAGTAATAATCACTTATATTTGCTATTTTTATTTTCATAAAAACATAACTGAACTAAAATTTTCATCTATTTTTTGCCTATATGTAGTAAATCTATATATAATTAAAACATATTTATATAATGAAAATGTATTCATAATAAAACTTTTAAGCACAGACAAAATGATTCCCCTTCTCCAGAAGAGGCTAAAAGTTCCCTGAAGAGACCAAACTACAAAAAGAAAGTGAGAAATTATTTTTATCTGAGCAAATCTCATATATTCTACTTTCCCAAAGATTATTTCATTAATAACAAGCTTTTACTATAACTTTTATACATGCTCATTGCAGAAATCACAGATAAGAAAAAAAAGTTACTTATAGTACAAATGCCCAGAAATAAATGTAATCACATTTGGTACATATTTTCAGCTAAAACAGGGGTATAGTATGTGTGTATGTACAATCAAAACAATTTTTTCTCACTTGGTATAGTAAAGTACATCTTCGTAAGTCAAAATAAGTCTGTATCTAGTCACACCTTCAACGGTTACTATTCCATCCTACGGATGCACTGAAATTTAGTTCTAAAATCCACCATATGTGTTCTTCTTAATACATTGAGGTTTTAAGCAGTAATGAGAAAAACAAATTGGATGTATCTTTATTTACAGATATTTCAGCATAATGGAATTGATGAGTAAAGGGCATATATGTTTTTTAAATGTGGTGCTTACCACCAAATTCTCTTTTTGAAAAATCATTAGCAACTTAAACTTGAAGCAGTTATACAAGTACCACTGTCTTCATCCTCACAAACTTTGTGGATAGGAAACAGTATTTTATTTCTCTTTTAACATGAATTCCTTCTCCTATAAGAAACATTAAGTATTTTTTTCTTATGTATATAGGTCACTTACAGATCTGCAAAAAAAGTACTTTGCCCAAATTTAGAATTATTTTCTTGTTGATTTGAATTATCTGTAACATGAAGATACATATTTCATCTGATGTGAGTATTATATGTATATGTTGTAAATATTTTGCAAGTAAGTTGTCTTTCTTATATAGAGTGTTTTAAGTTTTATTTTGCTAAATCAACCTTTAGAATGCTTGCTTGTGAAGTTCTTAGGAAGGTTTTGTCAACATAAAAATGTATTTGTAGAAATATGCATGTGTGTCTTCTTTTGGTACTTTCCCTATTTTGTATATTTAAAATGTTTGATCTATATTTCATCAGGAATTTATTTTTGTGACATAAAACTCTAGTTAAGTTTTATCCAAACAGCAGCCACATAATTTACAAATAATTCACCTCTTCCTACTAATCTGAAATGTCACCATTATCAAGCTCTAAATGCTTACATGTATTTGGGCAATTCTTTTTTTCTTTTTGAGACAGAGTTTCACTCTTGTCCAGGCTGGAGTGCAATGGTACAATCTCGGCTAACCGCAACCTCCATCTCCAGGTTCAAGCGATTTTGTCTCAGCCTCCTGAGTAGCTGGGTTTATAGGCATGCACCACCATGCCCAGCTAATTTTTGTATTATTAGTAGAAATCAGGTTTCTCTGTGTTGGTCAGGGTCTCAGACTCCCAACCTCAAGTGATCCACCTGCCTTGGCCTCCCAAAATGCTGGAATTACAGGTGTGAGCTGGGATTATGCACACTATTTGGGCAATTGTAGATCTTCTATTCTGTTTCATTCATTTATCTGTCTTTTCAGCTATTAAAAAACAATTTGTGGAAACTAATAGCACATTTTGTATACAGAAAGGCAAGTCATTCTCACCTCACTACAAAAAGAATTTTTAATGTCATCACAATAGTAAAAGACAAGTTTAATTTTAAAATGTTAAAACTTTGATATTTTTATTTGGTTTATGTAAAGTTGATAGACAAAGAGCTCACATCTTGAGAAAAATGAATCTTCCTACTCAAGAACAGGAACCATTTTCCACTTCAAAGTTTCCTTCTAAGATTCCTCAGGGAAGAACGTATTTACATAGGTGTACATTGATATAAAAATAAATATTAGATATAATCTGAAGAATTTTTAGCCCAGAAGTTGAAATATCATGGGAATTATTGCTCTCCTTATGCACCTGTTCATAGCGTATATAACATTATGTTGGCCAGGCACGGTGGCTTACGCCTGTAATCCTAGCACTCTGAAAGGCTGAGGCGAGTGGATCATCTGATGTCAGGAATTCCTGACAAGCCTGGCCAACATGGTGAAACCCCATCTCTAGTAAAAATACAAAAATTAGCCAGGCATGGTAGCACGCGCCTGTAATCCCAGCTACTCAGGAGGCTGAGGCAGGAAAATCACTTGAACCCTGGAGGCAGAGGCGGCAGTGAACCAAGATTGCACCACTGCACTCCAGCGTGGGTAACAAGAGCAAAATTCCATCTCAAAAAATATATATATAGGACTCTCCAAGATGGCCGAATAGACACAACTCTGATGCACAACACCCAGTGAGAGAGATGCAGAAATCCTGAGATCTCCTAGCTCCAACCGAGGTACCAGGGGCATTTCAATGGGTCTGGTTCTACAGTGAGCAAAGCCCAGGCAAGGCAGAGTGAGGCAGGGAGGGGTGCTGCTTCACCCAGAAAGTGCATCTGACCGGCAAGTCAGAGGCTCCGCCTCTGGCACTCTGGTCCAGATACAGCACTTCCCCCAAAGCCTCAGCAATACACAGAACAGGGGATCTTTGCCGGTCAAGCACCGGGAATTACAAGCACGGAGTTCAATAATAATCCAGGACGGTGTCCTGGATCGGTGCCCAGACCTAAACTGATGCATAAGCCCAAAAGCCAGCCAGGAGAGCCTGTGAACTGAGCTATCACCCTCTACCTCCACCTGGAGACACAGGAAGCTGTAAGTGGGAGGACAGACAGAGCAGCGCAGTGGGCCCCTACCCCATGACTGGAGAGAGAAGAAGCTGAAAAGGAGGAGAAGGCAGGGTGCAGCTGGGCAGGTCCCTACCCTCCCCCACAAACTCCAGAGGGCTGAAGCTCTGACTCTAGCCAGTTGCACAACCAGTGCCACAGTCTGAGCTGAACCCTGAATGATCTATCTAGCCCAGTGGAG